GATCCAATGCGACCGACCAGGGTTGTCTCACTCCGGACATTTTAGGAGATCGCGGTTGGTTATTTCTGTCTCTCTTTTCCCACTAGAAGAACGGCGGTGCGAGAGAGAGAAAGAAGAACTGCCCGCCACCCTGCGACCTGCGACCGACCAGCGCAACCACGCGTGGTCTTACCGTCGGTATCACACCGAAGACGCACTGCGACGTGCCAAGGGGTTGGCTCAGGCAGTCACAGTCCGCCGCCCCGCGAAGGCTAACCATGGACCTCTGGTGACGACTGGCGACGTCCTGTGGACCGGCCGATGGTGAGTCAGATTTTCCGTCGCAGGAGCATACAGCGGCACCGTGACGGGGGTGACGTGTGTGTGTGTGACTAGGGTCGCCTGTGCTGACCTACGTTCCAGGCTGAGAGCCCTGCAGTCTAAGAGCCGGGTCGGGCATGGCAAGATCGGGTCGGGCCGGCCGCACCCAGGCCGTGTACAAGCACCCAGGCCGGGCCGCGGGCCGCGTCGCGTTGTCTGGGTGGCAAATGAAGGATGGCGAAAGACGCCGAAGCCGTGCGAACCGCAGCGGCGGCGGCGGTGGTGGCGGCGGTGGTAGCGGTGCGGGGCACTGCAGCCAGAATGCTAATTAATTGACCAAAAATGTCCGCAAGGCGCGCGGGGCGGCGGGTGGGGGAGGGGGGTCCATGATAAAGGGGCTGGAGAGGAATAATAAAAGGAGTAAAAACGCAGCAATATAGCGCGGAGTAGAGAGGGGAACCCGTGAAGGGAGGGCGAGCAGGGCCGCGGCGGGGGTCAAGGCGTCGACGCGGGCGAGCTCAGCGGTCAGCAGCCCGGGCCGCGCGGGGAGCGGGGCTGAGGGGTCGAGAGAGACCTCGTGCGGTTTTGAGCAGCACCGCTTTTAGGGGCTGACTGCTACTTCATGGTGGATGGAATAAAGTGCACGAACTGCCACAACGGTTCAGCGGCCGCTGCCTTTGCAGAGAATGCAGTGCCCCTCCGGGTCGCGACCGCGTGCGACCTTTGTCGGTTTTAAAGACAGCGCGACGGTGCGCGGGGGCCGGCGCGGGCCGCAGATGCCATCGAGGTTGTCGTGGAGGTTGGCTCGGACGCCATACTCGCCTCGCACTCGCCACTGTTCTGGGGGTCCGGCTCCGGCTGGACAATGGACAATGCCAGGCTGCGGCGCTCGGTCGTCAGCCGGGACACTGCAATGCGCCAAACACACCCCTCGTCCTCGTGGGCCCGGCTCTGCCCGGGTCGGGCGAGGTTAGGAAAGCGATTCGCCTCCCCCAGAGAGTCCGCAGGTCCCTCCCTGCCCCTCTTTTATGAACGAGTACACCCGTCCTGGCTCGGGTACCCGTCGCGCCGGGCTGCCCGGGGCCGCCCAGGCGGGCCTACAGGCGGGCCGGGCCACTCCCTGGACACCGCCGCTCTGCCCGGCTCTGCCCGGCTCTGCCCCACTTGGCGCCTTGCGTCACACCAGCCCAGCCGCTGATGAACCGCGCCCTTCAACCACCTCCTGATTGTGGCCCGAGCCCGGAGCTCTCGCTCGCACCGGCCGCGCCGCGCGGGCTGCTCGTCCTGCTGGGCGTACAGGAGGGCCCCCCGGCGGGGTGAGAAGCGCGGTGACCGACCGCCCCGCCCCGCCGCTCGCGACGCGCGTTCCACATCCACCTGCGAGACGCGCGTGGCGCGGCGGCGGCGGCGGCGTGGAGCTGCTCCTTTACGTCATCGATGTGTTTCGAATTTGTTGTGTGCTTCTGCTACCCACCCGGCCCGCGCCCATGGGAGACGGAGCACAATCGGGGAGTGCCACGGCGGCGGCGCGGCGGCGGCGGTGTGCGATGTAGCGATGTATGAGAATGCGGACGTTCATCGCTTGACGGGGGCACAAACCGGCAACACAAACCGTTTGTAACGTCCGCAGGAGTGCACTGCGAGTGCACGAGGCGGCTCCAGGGGGTTGCGGCTAATGACGGCGCCCAGCGGCGTGCCAAACGGAACGGGGCGGGCTTGTCGTCGCGTAGGCGGACCCGCGCATCTAAGCTGAGCTGAGCTGAGCTGAGCTGAGCTGAGCTGAGCCGAGCCGGTACCCTGCCGCGCTGGCGGGGCAGAGAACTCATCACTGCTTTACCCTTTTCCTTTCATTTCCTCCCCGCGCCGTGCCGCGTCCGCCGCCGCTCGGCATGGTGCGGTGTGGAATGTCCCACATCCGTCAGACGGCTTTGGGTCGGCCTGGCCTGTAAGGCCGTAAGGCCTGGCAGTGGCTGGCTGGCCCGTTGGTCATAGCCGTGGCCCCATGCCGCGCCATGCTGATCACGTAACATGCCGACAGGTTGGTTGGCCAGGCCCGCCCCGCCCGTACCCGTCCGTGCTCGAGCCTCCCGCTCCCGCCAGCCCCGTCCGCGTTTACACCCGCGGCGCCCACGCGCTGGTTCTACCGTGTTTAATGGGTTGCCTAACTCCCGGGCGCCAGGTGTAGCGCCCGGTGGTAGGCAACACATCGTACTTCGTATCGTCTGCTCTTTGCCCGCCTGCTATACATACACACTCGTTTGTTTTGGATCTGGATCCGAGCCGAGACATCATTGTTTTGAGAATAATTCTCTCTTCTTGCGAAGAAAGTAAGGGGAATTTGACGGGAAGAGGCCATACTTCCGAAACTAGGACGACGTGCGTTTCAAAAGCTCTGGTTTGTTTGAATGATCAACTCTGCCGACTCGTTGAAATAGACTATTGATGGAAGAGAGAGGTTAAGAGATTCTGCCTGCTTCACCATGAGTCAAGTAAATGTTACCGCAGTGCCTCAAAAGTATCATTCTCTCCTCCTATTAACGCGAAACTTCTCTTCAACAACTTATTCAAAGCAACGCAGAGTTGTTGTGACAGGTTATGGAGCTCTTAGTCCCATCGGCCACTCAGCAACAGAGTCATGGAATAATCTTCTTGCTGGGAAATGTGGAGTTGTGAGGCTGAAAGGTGAAGGATATGATAAGCTCCCATGCCAAGTTGCCGCTAGAATAACCCCACCTATTGACCTTACCAAACATTTTCCCAAATCCGAACTTCGGACAATGGCGCCAGCAACGGCATATAGTCTGATTGCTGCACAGGAAGCTCTCAATTGTGCGCAGTGGCATCCAAAAACTAAAGAAGAAAAAGAGCGAACTGGAGTTGCTGTGGGTATGGGTATGATTGACTTGGATGATGTATGTGAAACAGCAGAGGCCCTCAAGAGAAGTTACAATAGAGTAAGTCCTTACTTTGTGACACGTATTTTACCTAATATGGCTGCTGGGCAGATTAGTATTAGACATGGTTTTTGCGGACCAAATCATGCAGTGTCAACGGCTTGTGCAACTGGTGCTCATGCTATAGGTGATGCTTTTCGGTTTATTCAACATGGAGATGCTGATGTCATGGTTTGTGGTGGTGCTGAAGCTTGTATTAGTCCCCTGTCAATTGCAGCCTTTTCCAGAATGAGAGCACTTAGTACATCATTCAATGACTGCCCAGAAAAAGCATCAAGACCGTTTGAAAAGAATAGAGATGGGTTTGTCATGGGAGAAGGATCAGCAATTCTTGTTCTTGAGGAATTACAACATGCTCTTGCTAGAGAAGTGAAGATATATGGTGAGATACTGGGATATGGATTGTCTGGAGATGCTTCACACTTGACTTCTCCAAGTGATAGTGGAACAGGTGCTATTTTATCAATGACTAGGGCTCTTCATTCGGCAAACATTGATCTTGCACAAATAGGTTACATAAATGCTCATGCTACATCTACTCCTCTTGGAGATGCTATTGAGAGCAAAGCTATTCACACAGTTTTTGGTGGCCATAGCAAAGAAATAGCTGTTTCTTCAACCAAAGGAGCTCATGGGCATCTTTTGGGGTCTGCAGGAAACTTAGAAACCCTCTTTACTATCCTTGCATGCAACACTGGATTAATTCCAGCAACAATAAATCATACGGAATCTGATATTGATTTAAATCTAAATTATGTGCCAAACACTAGTCAAAAGTGGAACCACAATTCTAATGCTCCAAGGATAGCTCTGAAAAATGCCTTTGGGTTTGGTGGTACAAATGCAACATTATGTATAAGTGAATATAAAACCAATGTATAGATAGATTACCTATGTGAATATATTTTTTTACCATATTACATGTAATGACTCAAAAATTTGTATTTTCTAACCTATCTGACTTCAGACTTATTCTCTAGCTCCCCAAAGATATAACAGATCATATAAAAAAGAGTACAACAAACAGCAACACATTAGTTGTTAACAGAGACACGGTAGAATTATTTGTTCCCAAATTATTGTATCCTTTTTAGGAATAATAACAATATAACAATGGCACAAAAATGCATGGTCAGTAAATTGGGAGGAAAAGTCATACAAGATCTTAGATAACAATATTGCACTTAGCAGCAGAGACCAGCTCTTCATGAATTAGGTGCAGTTTCCCAAATACTAGAATTACTAGGTACAAAAACTTAAAATTAAATAACACATTTCAGGAATAAAACTTGTGATATACATTGCATGTGACACATGAAAACACAACAAAGGGACATAAAACAAAATTTGCTCACTTAAAAATTGTTTACAAAACAAAATTGAGCTGATTAATATGGTGATTGAATATAGTAATTACAGTAGATAAGTAAAAAGTAATTATTATTGCTTCTTGATTGGACATCTTTGTTTGGTTAAAAAGCTATTTATTTCACTTGGGATTTAATTTTCAGCCTTGATATAAATTCTGCATAATATTCTTGATTGCAACCAGAGAACTTTTTCTTTAAGTACTCTGTTGTGCGAACCTGCAAATGAACAATGTACAGTAACCAAAGTCAATATGTTAAAATCAATGGCAATTCTCAAACTGCTCTTTAAGTACTCACAGCTAACTTCACATCTAAGCATCCATGTTTTTGAGAAAGATTCCACAAATTTAAGGCAAGAGTAGCTAAATCTGGCTTAGACAAATCTGCTTTAGTAGCAATTCGAATGAGAAGATCTAGTGCCAAAGAGGACTGCCGAAGATCAAAGAAAGATTAAATCTTGATTAGATTTCAAGAACATGCAGAAATGTGGATTATAAATTTCAAAGCAATGTGTACCTGTTTGGAGAAAAGTTCGTTTTTTCCTAGATACTGAAGATGGCTCAAAATTTCTTCCACAACAACAGAACACATCCTGTTCAATTCAGCAATGAACTTCGGATCAGATCCATAAAGAACATCATTTGAATCCACTGGAATAAAAGTTTAAATCAATATTTAGCATTGCAAAATAAGCTTAGAAGGAAAACTTAAAAAAGATTAGATTTAAAATATACCCATATCGATATGGTACGGGTAGGATTCTTGTGCAGCAGTAGACAGCATGTCCAGTACATAAAGGTATACAGTTGCACGACCAGCACTCTGTGGATCCCAACTGTAGTTTTGGATAACATTCAGTAACCCTCTGGTAAGATATAATACTCCTTGTTCAGGACTGTCCTATAGTAATTAAGAGAAAAAAAGGGGGGCTTCTTAATATTTTTAACAAACTAAAATCCCACTAAAATATTTAGAACAGTATAGAGGTAGATTCGTACCGGCACAATCAGTAGAGTTGATAAAAAATTACAAATGTATGAGACTATGTATGGCTCAGAGCTCTTCTGTTTACCATCAATTTCAATAATTTTTGGCACATCAGCAATCAGACTCAAAGCTGCTTTCAGGCAAGCATCCGCTATAAATAACCACATTTGCAGAATGTAAAATATGCAAAATATTTAAAAGCAGAAAACAAAGTAAGAATGTGTTAGAGAGTATTTTTTAGATACCTTACCTTGCCCTAGACATTGGTTTAGGAGTGCCACCTGGCCAGACAAAAGATATAACTCTAGTTTCATCAAAACTGATGAAATGGAGGGTATTGTGATATAGCAATACGCAGCACAGGCGTGAACAAATGAAGCCGTCTTTCTTGTATGGTGACCCTTCACTATACATCTGGTGTCAACAGCAAGTCTGTTTACACTCTGCACTAACTGAGCATGAATAACATCTAGATTGGTAAATGATGCTCTAGCTTCCACATAGAATGACAGCTGTTGTTCAAAATCTCTTCCAAAATCAACTCTTTTCACAAAATTGCAGATCAAATTACCAATTTGTCTTTTTTCATCTTCAACAGTCAATGCGTTTACTGAATCATGCATCACTCGACAGATGAACATAAGAGCATTTGTAATAACAGGATCATTTGTGGTTTGGTATTGGTAATGCTTGGTATAATGTGACATTATGCTTTTGCAGACATCAACTTTAACACTTTCTTTTTGAAAAATATCAAGCATAGGCAAAAACTTATCCATAGTAAGAAGAGTTTCAAAGTCATTTGCATGAGAAAGTACACGTTCCATAACAGTTTGTAGAGAAGAATAATGGCTTTCATAGGCCCGGCCAACACTCATGTGCTTGATAATATCACCAAGAAAAGTATTAACTTCTCTAGTGGATAAGTGTTTGGCCACATATTGGACCCAAACTTCGGCACAACAAATATATTGAGCAGGATCAGTAAGCTTGGAAACAATTTTCCAAACATCATTTAGTATTTGGAGGCAATACTCTGTTGGTGGATCAGCCAAAGTAAGACATAGTCCTAGGGTCCTGAAGAGAAGATATTTTGGAAATCCTTCCTCATCACAGGACGTCAACAGCTCAACAAATTGTGTAGCTCGAGCAGCAATATATGCTGGTTTGAAAGCTGCCATAATGGTATTGAAGAGCAATGCACTGTTGCATTTCTGCTTACATCTATCAAGGATATCTGCAAGAGTCTTTTCTGTTGCATCATGTGCTACACTTTGCAAGATATAATCCAATGCTGGTGTGTACAGAGTAAGATATGTTGACAGATCAACCTTTTGAAAAGTCAAATCCATACGGACAGAAGGGGAAAACAATTGGTTGTAAATTGAAAGAAAGTCATAAAAATTTTCACGTAAATACACTCGGTCACTGGAGTTGATACTTAATCCTACACGACACAAGTAGCATCGGGCATAAACAGCAACTAGAGGGTCGCCAATTCCTCTAATCATTCGAGTCAGCCTAAGTAGGCCTTGTGAGAACTCGCCTGATGTCAAGAAACTGTAGGACTTTAAGATAGCCATTTCAACATACAAACGGGGAACCAGTTCACGAATTGAAGCAATTTTGTAAAACCAGTTACGACATGTTTCTTTTGCAGATTCAGGAACCATATCTGGAGTGAAATTTTCTGGTAAAGGAGTGGGAACTTTGCTTCCTGGTGCACAATAATCTGATTTTGTTCTGAGGCGTTCATACACTAGTTTCCCAAATATATCAAGAATATCAGAGATGAGAACAAACTTGCTTGGGTAGAATTGAATCACAGATGTGTCCACTAGTAGTTTTGAGCACTGTATGGCAATTTTTAAAGCCTTAACTCTTTGATCTTGGTGCCATGCTTGAACCAATTCAGAATTCAGTTGTTCTATTCGACCCATATATTCTTGTTGTGACAAATCCAACATCTGACGAACAGAACCCTCTTCGAAGTCATCCAATTGTTCCAGGCGAGTTCTGACTTTATCAACAACTGAGCTTTGGGCCTTTACTACCACCTTTTCTCCCCCTGACAAGAAACTGGTAACAATGGATAGTTTTTCAGATGTAGTAAATTTGCATAGAATTCCAGCTTTTCTAGATGCCCAAGATTCTTGAAAGCCATCATCCATCCCAGCACTGGCAGTAACATTCTCCTTGCCTCTTTTGCCCTCGACTGGTTCAACCCACTGAATGAACGGAATAAGAGAAATAATTACTATGGCAATCGTAATATTTTCCATTTCCATTTAGATAAATGGAGTGGCACTTACAGATTCTGCAGCCATTGCTGATAATGGATCCATCTTTTGCTGGTTAGCTAGTTGACTTAAGGGATCACTTCCTTCTAAGGCACCAAGAGGATCCATGGAATATGCTAAAGAGCTCTGTGTTGGAGTTGGAGTTGATGATCTTGTACTACTAGTTGTACTTCCTCCAACAGTTCGCAACTTTACTATGCGTGTTTCTGACATCTTGAGGTAAGAAGAAGACAAACAATAAAAATCCATAGACTTTACAGGAAATAAATTAAAATAAATATAAAAGTGAAAAGAAAAACTTATTACCGTGACCACTAAAGGCTTTAATGGATGATCTAAAATTTCCTCTGAGGGTAGTTGTTTTTTCACATTTTCCTGAAGTCTGTCTCTTGTCCTTGAAATCCTGTGGCATTATTAAAATCTTTATTTTGACATCAAAATCGATACTTTGTTTAATTTAAATATCAATGGGTTCATTGAGTAACGAAAAATAGTGATATGACAGTTGTGGGTAGGTTATGTAATAGCGAAACATTTACCATTCGCAGGAAGTTCGTGGGGTTGTCGTCGCTGGCATTTTGATCTATTTACTGAGCACTTCTAATTATAATAAATTATAAAGCAATGCTAAAATATTCGAGGGACAATCGAGGAAAAATGGTCCAAAACGAAAACATTCTTCTGCACCAGATCCTTGTGTTGGTCCGGTGCCTGCCTGTTGTTGACAGTTGGTGGCGGTACCGGCGGACGAAGCAAAGGGGAGATATCGCAGTCCGCGTGAGGGGAGCCACTGGGAGCCACACGGGAGACACTTCGAGTCCTTCGGGTAGGCCACCCTACGGACATGAGGGCACAACAGGGAGGCTACTCTCTGACTCACAGGCGTCCGCGGCGTCCGGCTGTGCCAGCTATGCCTGCATCGATGCGCAGATACTAGGCAAAGTTCCAGCTTAAGGCAAAACTCAGGTTTCCCACGCATTATGTTTTTTATAAGGTTTATATTTGTTTCATGGTGTGTACACCAAATAAGCAGGGTGGGTTGCGGTTGAGGGGGCGATATCTACCTTGAGAGCCCTAAATCATGGAAACTCGTCGTGTGGGCCCATACTGACCTCATTAAGATAGTTGTTATAAGTGAATAACTCGTCGAAGTGGTTTGTGGTTCAGGCAACCGTATCTGCCTTGTTTGTGTTACGCGGAATTTCCTTAGAGTTCTAAAAGCGTAAATCCCGAATTTGGAAAATCAGAGTCCTGAGTGCACAATCACCAGTCGCCCGTCCAGGAGCTGTCGGTTGCACGTCCGTCATTCGCCGTTTCGGAACTCCAGAAAACTTGCATAGGAAAACTCTCGTACCGCCTAGTAGGTTGGCAGCATCTTGCCAGCAGTGCATGCGTGTACTGCAGGGTAGCCTACCCCGAGTCTCGCAGGCGCCCAGCTCCCATAAATTCGCTGAATGTATCTGAGAGAAAAAAACGACGTGCTGAGTCATTGAGGCAAATATGCAGAGTAGCCTACTGCACGACAACAACTCGCGAACCGTTCGGAATAGAGGTCTGCGCTTTTAAGGGACACACACAAGCCTACTCTTCTACCAAACTGCAACTTTCTACCACATCACACTGCAAATTTCTGCCCTGTCAAATAAGTAGTGCTTTCAATTTGCTCACGAGTGTAATTGCTCCACACTTAGCGTTAGCCACCAGCGACAGAGCGTAGATCGCCCCGGATGAAATGGTCAGTCTAGTCAGTTGATGTCTTACCGGTTAAAGTCGACTTTAGCCGGTTAGAGTCGACTTTACCCGTGGGGCCCGGTTAGAACCGCCTGGGCCGAGGGGTATTTTACTTGAGTAATACACTATGGGCGTCTTTTGGTCTTTGGTTGCTGCTATGGTAAATAGCGAGCCAAGCGAGCGATTCACTTTTTCGATATCTCATGTCAAAACACGGTTCTGAGTCGAATCATGCTCCCTCTTTCTTGCGTTCTGCCGCGTTCTTTCCCATGCACCAGGTGGTAGATTCACGCCGCGCACTTTCATAGTTATTCTGTACCGCATGCACGCGTGCGGGCTGGTTGCCCACTCGCACGGGGCCACAAGGAGCCGTGGGCAGCGAGCATAGGCAAACCCGCCCGCGCTCGTGCATGCGGTACAGTATAACTCCGAAAGTGCGCGGCGTGAATCAGCCACCTTGGTACTGTTGCACTGCCGCAAGGCCAAGACATTGGTAGTGCACCAATGACCCAGGGTAGGCCCTGGCCAGGGCCCCGGGTAGGGCCCCGCTCCGCGGCCCCCGATGCAGGGGCCCCGGCCGCTGGCGCGGCATGCCGGCCCTAAAGAGCCTCAGAGCCTTTGAGGCTCTTTAGCCGGCCCTGGCCGGCCCTGGCCAGTCCGGCGCTGCCTGGCCGTGTGCGCATACGGACCGCCCCTGAATGTCGGTGGCGGGGCGAGAGGGTGTAACAATCCATGACATTCATTTAATTATGGTCATCACGTTTTGAGTAAGCCTAAAGCAGTCATGACTTTATTGGCAAAGCGCTGTTGGACAGCAATGCTTTGCCCGGGTGTGCAATGCTGTGCAGCACGAAGGGAAGTCCCCGAGGCCTGGGGGTGGCGCCGCGCCACAGTC